GAGCTCGCATTGTGGTGAAGAGTGATCAGTCTTCGGCGTTTGGTTTTCCTCATTTCTTGGAAGACAGCTGGCAAACAAATCGTTTTGTACCACTCAGAATTGACTGTTCTGCTTTTTTCTAGTGAAACGGTTGCGACATGTCCAGTTTTTTCGAAAATACAGGCGCCCATATGTTTGGAAGTGCTTCGTGTGCGAACAACTTTTGTTGGATTTTGCTGTTTACTTTCGGGCTCATACGCGTAACTCCACGATTCATCACCTGTCACGATGTCATAGACGTGTTTCGAAGCACCGCGATCGTATTTTTTGAGCGTTTCTTCCGATTTGATCGATTGACAAATTGTGTGGGATCCAATGCGAACAAATTTTTTTGACAGTCAAATGTTCATGTAATATTGAATGTATGCTAGTCCCACTAATGCCTAAGATTGTCTCAATTTCACGATAGGTCACATGACGATCTTGCAATATCAGTTCACGCACAGCATCAATTGTTTTCGGAACAACAACTGATTTTGGACGACCTTCGCGAAATTCGTCTTGGAACTACGACCACGATTGAATTCACCATACCATCGATAAACACTGGTCCTTGATGGAGCTTCATCGCAAAAAATTGAATTAAGTTGATCCATGCACTGTTGCTAAGTTAATCCACGTCGAAAGTTGTAAAAAATAATCGCAAGGAAATGTTCTCGATTTAATTCCATTTTTGAGCCAAGATGAATATTTTAAGTTACTGTAAAAACACCATCAGCGCTCGTATGTCTAAACGTTCTGAGTACGTGTAACCTCAAAACATCCATCTTTACGATAGAGCTGTGAGTTGCCAGATTGCAACACCAGGGTTTCCAAATCCGGAAACATAAAAGGCAACCTTCGTACCTTGTAATAGGGAAGGTGTTGGCGTAACGTCGCTGAGTAGAACAGCGGTATGAGCCACAGCTGCTGCTGCGCCTCGGACGGGGGATGGCTGCGAGTGCTTGCATTATTGCCGCATGCTGCTTAAAAGGCATTTGCTGCTGCTTCCATTGCTCCTCCTGCGGTTGACGCTTTTCCTTTTTGTGACGTTGCTGTTCTTCGCTTGCAGTCGTAGCTCTTCCTGCTGCTGCTTCTGCACGCGACATCAACTCCAATATTTGCTGCTTCCTTGTTGTGGCTTCCAACTTTTTACTCGTCGCCAAAATTGTTGTGTACTAAATAAGACAATTTCAAATTAGTCCAATAATTAATTTTCTAAAATCCGAAATCAAAATGCATAAAGACAAGCTGGGATCGTTCACCTCAATCCAATTCCAAAAACGCAGCGTTGCGACGTGTTATACAGTAGGCAGACAGACTTGTGACTCGTAGCAACTCCCAAACTCGATTGCTTGATGATATTTTTTTTCGGCGTAGCCGAAGGTCGCTGTGGTGATTCCATCGCATCACGATCGTATTGATGAGAGGATACTTGATCGTAATTGCAGTGCACTCGCCTTTAGCGTTTTACTGCTAGGTGTACATTGTTTGTGTAGGTTCGCTGCCTAGGCGCGGCGCTCCGCTTGCCCTTCGTCAGGGGCGGGAGGGGTTGCTCAACGGTTTGCTGTGTTCAGCGACCGCAGAGGAAAGGCCCGCTGACTGGTCCTTCGGGGCGATGGGTGCCGCTGCTTCTGGCGTTCCTCGTAGCGTGCACCCGAACTAACCCGCGCTGCCTGTGAATGCGGCAGCGAACGAAGTGGCGGTTTAAGTTACTGCTAGCACGGATGCCACAACTACCGCCACAACTATTACCACTACCACTTCCACTACAACTATTACTACTACTACTACTACTATAAAATATTATGATAATATTAATATAATAATAATATTAATAATAACAACAACAACAACAACTTGCTGAATGTGGCCTCGCCGACCCATTTAACTTCCTTCGGACTCTGACTTGACTTTTGTTTGACTTTTCTTTTTTTTCTTTCTTCGATTCAGAGTCCTCTTTGTTCAGTTTAGATGTTTTGTCAGCGCTGTGAACTATCCACTCAAATTTGGCAAAACTGACTTCGTGAAAGATATTTCGAAATGGTTTTCTTTCAGTTTGTCTCAGTACATGTTTTGAATATCAATTTGAAGACCACCCAACGGCAAACACGTATTATTATCTGCTGCAACTCCATGACACTCTTCGTCTTTCTCTCCTTCTTCTCTATCTTCCTCTACGTACGAGGGACGTACCATATTGTTTTACATTTTTTCTGTACGTCCGAGTGTGGTTTACATTTCACTTCTGAAGGTGGTGACGTGTAACTAGTATCTAGTGTGTACCACCGTTAGTTAGCAACACACAGGGACCAACGAATGCACTCGCCATAGCCAGTTCATAACAACACTGTCAGCGTGGGAGCAGACAATATGGAAAGCAATCGTCAGGGACAACGCTATACGACTTGGAGCCTATGGAAAGAGGCTTGACAACAACAGAAATTCATCGTAGCTTGGTGGCAGTCGTTATGGAACGCGCTGGAACGTAAAACAGCTTACAACTGGGTGGAATGTTGGAAAACATGGGGCATATAGGTGTATAAGGGAACCTGTTCTAAAAGTAATGTGATAGTGTTAACACCAGGCAACATTGCCCGGGTCGAACAGGATATCGAAGGTAAACAATACATCACATTTACGAAAATGAAGGCAGCCAGAAGAATTAGCCGAAACACATCTTCAGCGGATCGTTCACGGGTACTTTCAGTTGGGGAAGGTGTCATCCATTTGGGTGCCTAGACTCTTGTCGGGAGATCTAAAGCAGACGCTTGTGAACGTGTGCAGATAACTTTTGAGACGCCATGATCAAGATCCAGTCACCTTCATGGCTAGACTTGTGACTGGTGATGAGACGTGGCTCCATTTCCATGAGCCACGAAACAACAATCGATGCAATGGAAGCAAAGGGAAAAAATACCGCCAAAGAAATGTCGAACAGTTGGCAAGCGAATGGTGACCGTTTTCTGGGACAAAAAGGGCATCATCCTCATTGACTGACAGGAATTTAAGGATACGATTAACAGTGCAGCATATGTGGCAACCCTTAATCGCTTACACCGTGCCATTGAAACTAATCGGACAGGGAAATGGGCTAAAGGTATGCTTCTGCAACATGACAATGCCCGCCCCCACGCTAACCGAGAGGCCACTACTGCCATTGATCAAATGGAATTCACTGTTACACCCACCATACTCTCCCGACTTGGCACGAAGTGATTATCACCTGCTCGGGAATACGAAGAAACTTCTGCGTGGTCGCCGTTTGGCGGATTTTGAAGAACAGAACACAGCTGCCAAGGTATTGGTACGCAGCACTCCGAATGAATGGTATCAAGCAGGTCCGGAGGGACTGACACATCGGTGGCAGTGCATACAGATACAAGGATATTGTTTGGGGATGGTGAATGTTCTTCATTTGAGTGGAAAAAATAAAGTGTAAAACAATATAGTACGTTGAATTGAATTGAATTTGCCTTATTTTACGTGGCGAGACTCGGGCCATCAGGCCTGCTCTTCCGTCTGACCACGCATATTTTGCTACGCTCCTTTCATCAACTAGCATAGAAAGGAGGTATTTCTTAGGCGAGAAACAGGCGATTTGAATTTAGCTCAGAGGCGTCATTTAGGCTTGAGGATCTTTTACACGCAAGTAAATCTACTAACATGGGACAGACGGCTTTACTTCCCCTCCGAAGGAAGGCGAACGAAGGATTTTGTCGCCCTAAAAATCCACGGCTTCGATCGGGTTTGAACCCGCGAGCTTGGGTATAACAGTCGGGTACGCTAACCGTCACACCATCGCCGCCGCCGTACGTTCGCCGTACGTTCTACGTATTACTCTACGCCTTCCTCTCCGTCTTCTACTTCTTCATCTACGCATTACGTCACGTCTTCCTTTTTTTCGTCTACATTTTCCTCTACCCTTTTTCTTCTTCCTGTTTCTTCGTCTTACCCTTCATCTTCCACTTCGTTATCGCTCAAATATGATGGAATACGACGTAGCTCTCCAAATCAACTGTTTACAACTGCCACTAGGGTTATCAAGTCAAGTCGTATGTGCTAATTGTATCGCAAAAATGGCACAAATTGTTCCTTAAAACTTGGCAAACCAAAAGATATTGAAAACACGTTTGATGAAAAATGCTAACAGTAAAATTATTGGGAATAGTTTATGTAATATTTTGAACGCGTGCTTTGATACTGAAATTCAACCATCATAATTTGAATTCAGCACAAGAAACTGCAATTTAAAAAAAACGTTACTAGTATAATATTTATTTACATTTTTAAATAGTCGTGTAATTATTATAATTAATATGTTTATTGTATCTAATTCTGGTTAACTTAGTGTTGAAAGTTTTTCACTCCCGTGAAAAATTACGAACATTTTGGGACTGTGTTTATGAACATTCTGAATTTTTTTCCAAACGATTATTAAGTTTAATGTTGGTTATATTTCTCTTTATGATAATAATTAATACAAATTACTAAAATAAGTATTTAAGAATTAGACAGTTTACAAAAATTTACGGAAGGATTCACTTTTACGCTGATAGCCCATGGGCTCGAAATTCGTCGGCACTTTTAATAAACTATGAAAGAGCTCGTGGATCCAAATATTTCATACATTTTATTTTATTATAAAGCGGCACCTTAGCAACATCGCTAAGGTCATAATAATATTTGCTTCGAACTGCTTTCAAACAGAAAAGGTAACGACTTGTGTTGATAAAATAGTTCTTTTTGAAATCCAATTTATCAACGAAATTCACAACCAGAAACTAAATAAATTTAAATATTGCAAATATTGAAAATAAAAAATGTGGTAAGAGACACGTCCATTGGCAACCGCAAACTTAGTAATTCTCTAAGAATCGCCTATGCACACAACACAGATTGCCACTTAAGTTTTTCCCGCCAAACGTTGTGACGTCATTCTGGACACTTCTATATGCACCATGATATTTATTCTTCGCATTGAGAGTAAATAGTTGGCAATGGTGGTGGTAATATAATGCTCTCTGATGGTTGGCAGCTGCGGCGCGTATAGTTTGTACTGTTTGGTGTTTCCCCGTATGTGAATAAAGAAGAAAATGTGCTAGTTTCCGGGTGAAGTGTTTAGGAAAGAGTAAGAATTAGGATTATTGAAGTTGTTGAAATTTTGTGTTGTGGAGGAAATGTGTATTTCTTAAATGAAATAGTGAATGAAGTGACAATGAAAATTGCAATTGAAGGATGTGCTCATGGACAATTGGAGATTATTTATGATTCGATCAAACATTTAGAAGAAAAAGAAAACGTTAAGATTGATTTACTAATATGTTGTGGAGATTTTCAAGCTACAAGGAACCTTCAGGATTTGAAATCCATGGCAGTTCCACCAAAGTACCAATCAATGTGTTCGTTTTACAAGTGTGTATGATCATAGTATTTTAATCTTATTAATTTTTATTGTTTAAATTATTCTTTTTGATGTAATAATGTTTTGTTTTATTCTGTTTCATTTCCAGATATTACTCGGGAGAAAAACAGGCCCCTGTCTTGACTGTCTTCATTGGCGGAAACCATGAAGCCTCAAATCATCTTCAAGAATTGCCTTATGGTGGTTGGGCTGCACCAAATATATATTACATGGGCTATGCAAATGTTATCAACATTGCTGGTGTCCGCATAGCAGGCCTCTCAGGAATTTATAAAGGACATGATTACATGAAAGGTCGTTTTGAAAAGCCACCGTATTCAGAAGATACCAAGAGAAGTGTGTACCATGTTCGCAATTTAGATGTCTTTAGACTGAAGCAGGTGCTGCCATTTTATAACATACATTTAATAATTTTTTTGAATTTTGACGTTAGCTTTTTGTGTGATGCTATAAAACTGAAAACTAACTTCAGTATACATTTTATTTGCAGCTTCAACAACCTGTAGATGTGTTTCTATCTCATGATTGGCCTAGAGGTGTGCATCAGTTTGGGGATGAAAATGGTTTGTTGAAGCTGAAACCTTTTTTCCGGTGTGTATTTCTTTATTAAGTATTCGTACCCTAATGAGAAAATTGGGAAGTGTTTTTATAAAACTAGACGTCTACACAGTCAAAGTTTTATGGGTGATCTGTATTTATGAATAATGAAACGGTTAACAGAAACAATGTTAATGTCTTAATGTTTAAAAAAATAATAGGGTAATATATTTTTATTGTACTTAAAAAGTACAATGAGTGTGCATAGTAGTTTAGATGGAGCATGAAGGTAACTCCGAACATTTGGTATTCGTCAAGCAGGGAGTGACCACTCGACAAATCCTCAGTAGTGTGGATGGTGTGCTTGCAATTTGCCGAGCGATGAACATTTGGTGCTCTCCCTATCCACTGTGATTTAGCCACATCAAAGGAAGCAAACATTCACAAAGCCCTTCAGCTGCTCAGGATTGGGTGTGCAGTTGCTACTGCTCAGCAAATACCAAATGTGTGGAGCCGCCTTCTTGTATTTTTATAGATTTTCTAAACTTTTTTTTTTTCATCTTAATTTTCACTGTGAATGGTAATCCTGAGTGAGGAATCAGTGATAAACTTGTGAATAGTATTTCTACAAATTCTTCTTAAATAAGGTTACTTGAATCACTAATAACAAAAGGTAAAATTTATGTATTTTTTTAACATTGAATTTTTAATGATTATAACAACTTTGATCTGCGATTCACAGGAGAGTCTTTAAATAATCTTAATGTTAGATCTTTTTCATTTCACCTGCAAGTTTATTTTCTAAGTGAGTTAAAAAGTCTCACTTTAGCCTAGCAATTCTTTAAATTTATGAACTTTTTACATTACTTGGTACAACTCAACTTCCTATGTTCAGAAAGTGAATGACACATTTGGACCAATGGCAATTTCTTATAGATGAAAAGGTAATGGTTAAAGGTAAATGTAGAATAGTGTAGGTCTGTCCTTAGGCTTCACTTTTCACTCAGAAATGTGTTGATGTTGTCAGGGCACATTGAAAAGAGACTCTAACTATTATTTGAAGTTATGTAATGCATTTAAGACTGCTTGAGCATATAGTTCATTATTGGAAGGTGCAATATTTAAGTAAAGTTGTTGATGACAGCATTTACTGCAAATTCGTGAGGCTTTACTTATATACGAATTGCAGAGAATGCATAGTTGAATTCAGTTAAATGAAAAGAATTATACTTCAGTTACAACTGCATTAATTACCCTTTTTTTTCCTCACCACTCCTAGACGTGAGTAAATGGCCCAGCATAATAAAACCTTCCTATTTTTTATCCATGTTGTAATTGAGATTAGGTGTTTTATACTGATAACTCTTCACACTTGCTGCAAATGTCAGCACACTTGCTGAGGCTAACCTCTATTATTACGCAAAGTATTCATTGAATATTGTCAAATAAAATGTATACTGAACAATATATATCATTATGTATTCTCTGACAAAACACATTTGCCTCGAAATGTCTACATTGTTCTCTGAACCGAACTGCTGCAGTAATGCATATCTCTCATGTCCAAGATATGAGGTGAGATTATTATTACGCAAAGTATTCATTGAATATTTTCAAATAAAATGTATACTGAACCATATATATCATTATGTATTCTCAGACAAAACATATTTGCCTCAAAATGCTTACATTGGTCTCTGAACCGAACTGCTGCAGTAATGCATATCTCTCATGTCCAAGATATGAGGTGAGGTTTCTCAATTTTACTGTAATTTCAATCTTGTATAATAAATGAAGGACGTGTGAGATTTTTCTCTACTATTTGCATCAATAAAACACTTGTCAAAAAAATGAACTTGTGAAAGTTGTCAATTGTTGTGTTAGAATGACATGGAACCAATTTATTACATTGGTATAAACTTCCTAAAAATATTAACACTTCATGTGAGAAAAAAATTGAATGTCTTGTTGTTAAAAAAAAATAGAAATTTTGCCTTAGGAATTAAGAGAGTGTAGAATAGAAAATATGCATTATTTTATTTCTTAGTATGTAGATATTTCTTATGACAAATTTTATCACAAGTATTATCAATTAATATGTATGCTATTATTTAAAAGATATCATTGACAGATATTTCAAAAAGTAATATGAGTGGTATCACATGTTCATTAAAAATTCTTGATAAATCATGACACTATCACTGTCTCCTGTCCCTACTAAATTATTTTATGGAAGACATTGAAGCAATGCATAGTAAATAAATTCAAAATAATGTATCTATTTTACCCTACTGCTTAATCTTTGGCTGCCATTAGAGTTGCTTCTATTTTCACTTCATTCTTCCCATTGTAAACCACATAAATGATGGGTCTTTGTTGATCTGAATCTGTTTCTTTCTTCTGAATTATGTTTAAGTATTGTCCATGGAGTTGTTTGACAATTGTTAAGTTTCTTTTAATTTAAGTTTTTATTGTTTGGAGTAGATTGTAAAAACATTGCAGATTTATAGCATTTGCCAGTATACACACAGAACAAATGGAGTAAACTTCTTTGTTGATGAATGAAAACAAGTATTTTCAGAATTTCACTACAAGAGGGCAGATTTAAAAGGGAGAGAGGGTGTACTGCATGCACCTTAGGTGTGAGGGATCTTTGAAGAGTTGACCACTCAGTTAGAAGCAGATGATGATTATTGTTGAAAAGCATGAATTTGTTTTAAAAAACTGCAAAAGGGATATTACTCTTCCAATCTAAAACATTTTGGTCATTGAGAGCAAAAGAAAAAGAAATAAATCATGTCACGTGAAAAACTTTTTCAAGTTGATTCTTAGGAAACTACCTTTTGTTCATCTTAATTGTAGTCTTTATATTCTTTGAAGATATTTGTATTTCCTGAAACGAAAAGTTTCATTTGCAGAAAATGCACATCTACATTTATTAATATTTTTCTCCTGTTTCTCCCTTGCTATTTTCTCCTTAATCTGTTGAAGGTCATGAGATAGCAATGTCAATATAGAAGTGCTAAGATATCATCATTTTGGAGTTAAGTGATGATGGGAAAATTAGTTCATTCTTCTTCAGACTACTAGTTTTATTCTTTTAATGATACTTTAATGGTGTTGCAGTTGTAAAAAAAAAGTTCTTAAATTGACCAAATTTGTTAATAGACAAACATCATCACATTATATAACTAATCACTTAAAGTAAATGTTTTACATTGTTTTGGCCATAAGTGTGGCTTAAGTCTTGAAAAAATGTAGGCAACTGAAATCAAGGGAAAAGATGTAATAATGTGGAGATGTTAGAAAAAATAGTCAATTAAAGTACTAATATTTTTATTGTACATTTGCTTCAAATTTATGATGTTTAATTGTACTCAAAGATAGTGGTTAGGTTTTTCTTTCTACTTTTTTGATCTTTTTACAAACACAGGGTGTTTTTGAATAATGAAATAAATGTTTCTTTTAGGGAGGATATTACCACAAACTCTTTAGGAAGTAAGCCTTGTGAAGAACTCCTCCATTTTCTGAAGCCCACATTCTGGTTCTCGGCTCATTTACATGTAAAATTTGCTGCAGTTATTCCTCATGATTCAGTAAGTAAAATGTTGAAACTAGGGCTGGGAAAACCATTTTTAATCCAATCTATAGGGTTGTATTAATTTGGGTAATGTTGAGGGAATTATAGTTCATATAAAATACAAATTTTCATCATTTGAACTGTCAAATAGAAATAGTCATTACTGCCAAGTATGTAATGGTGTATCCCCTCTTCCCCTCGTTTTCTTTCCTTCTCCAGTGAAAAATAGCGTTGCAGTTTGAGGATTGCAAAAGCATTACGGAACAAAAACCTTACAAATACAGTTACTCAGGGTATGGTTTTCCATTTTTCATGGTGGAAAAAGATTGGTTTCATTAAATTAATTTTAAAATACTGTTACTTTAAGAGATTAAAAAAGTAATTGTTTTATTCCAATTTTCTTTCAGGATTCTACTTTGGGAAAGAAACAGATGACAAAATTTTTAGCTTTGGATAAATGTTTACCCAAACGCAAATTTTTACAGGTAAGGAAGACATGAATTTATGCATTTTATTTATTAGGTTGCTGAAATCTTTGGGTCAGCTGATTGCTGTTCCTGGCTTTTCCTTCCTTTTCTGCATCCCAGAACTTCATTCTATTACCCTTCCCTGTTTTTCATGTACCTTTACTGCTGGAGGTGGCCAGAAAGCCCTTCTCAGCTAGTTTTAATTTTTCTTATAGTGTAGAGAAAGTATTGTAATGCTGCAAAAAGTTAATGTCATATATAAACACCCCTATATTTTCAAAATTTTTGCAATAGCTTTCTTCTTTTTTTCCTTCATTGAAAGAGCAAACTGTGCTTGGCACTAGTTTGTTTTTTGTTAAAATCTCAAATATTTTTTAAATTGTTCAAATTTGTTGCACCCAATCCTATTATAGCTACAGAATTGAAGATGGAAATTTTCCTTCATGAAGTCTGATCATCTTAATTTGATCTTAATGATTTAAAGTACAAATATTTTCAAAATATGAGTAGTTTTGGAAATTTTGACTGAAATCTTGCCATATGAAAAATGCATTAATAAGAATTTCTTTAAAATACCTCCATAATTTTTCTTTTTTAAAATTTGTTTTGCTTGAATAGAGTGCTTAAAGTGAGATCTGCTCATTCTTCATAAAGTCTATTGTTTTATTTCATTTTCAATGTCAACCTACGGTGTTTCTCCAACAATTTATCAAGCACCACAGTATAACTGTCATTTTTTAACCTTTCTTAATTCACCAACATATATTGTGATTGGTCGCTCTAGCTACATAGCAAGATCGAGGTTCAGCCACTGTGTGGAGGAGAATTCTAACGGTCAGCTGCTTTGATCAGTAGTTTCACATGATTTCTCCAATCAGCATCAGGTGAATGCCCAAGTAGTACCGTAATAAACAGGCCATGGACTGCATGCAATCTTTCCCTCCTTCCCCTATCCTTATCCTAGACAAACACTTATACTCACACTGCACTACATTACCACACTTGTCAGGAGGCTAGTCAGGAGATCAGAGCTTGTCCTGGCTGGGGCATGCCCCATTGGTGGAAGATACCTGGTTAGGGACAACCCCCCCAGCCAACAGTTAGGTCGGTGCAAGATCTGCAATCCAGCAGATCACTGCCTCTCCCGTTATAAAAACCATGCACTACAGTAATGGGACTACGAGTAAAGACCTTAGGAGTTGATGTGCCCAGAATCTCTAATGAATCGATCAATCAATCAATCAGCCCTCATTTCTGAACCGAATATTGGCCCTCCCTGAAATTGTCCATGTAGATAACTGAAATAGGCCTACAGGGTTACTCAGCACATAGTTTCTCATATTATTTATAATGGTTTAGTAATAGAAAAATGTTGCTACTTGTTTCCTACTAAAAAAAATATTGATAAAAAATCTTTTTAGTAAAAGAAATGCGATTATAATTTTCAAAATTTTGGAGATTGTACTTTACTTATTGTATATTCATTACCGTATGTTTCTTCACTTGAGGAAAAAATTTAGAGAAAAACATTTGCCAATGTTGTCAAGCCCCGGGCTCTGCTTTACAAGAAAACAACAAAGACTGCTTGCCTATGAAAACTTCAGGTGGAAATGCCTCACCTCTTATTACCTTGCCAAGAAAAATAAATAATTACACTAAAATTTTTGAGATTTTGAGAAAATTTGTTATGAAGATTTTGTGTTCACAAAATGAATGAAATGATAAAATTAAACCAATTTCTTACATATGTGTCCAAATTACCTGGAAAAAATTACAGATGATTCGTTGTTGACAAGTTTTAAGGAGTGGTACTTCTGCCATAGAATGTGAAATGAAAGTGGCACTTAGGCAAGGTAGCAACAGCAGCACAATCAAAAAAATCGAGGAAAATCCATTTTGGAAAAAATTCTGTGCATAATGTAGGTGATTTTTTTTTAAATAGACATTTTAAAAAAAAATGTATATGGAACTCCCAAAACATAAATGCATAAAAAATCAAACATATTTCCATAAACGAAGTCTTTGTTTTTAGCAGTATTCCATAAAATTCTCTATACTCTACAATGTATGCAGTGTAGCAGTTGTAGGAAAAAAGTTAACTTGCAGAACATCAAAACATTGAATGTGAAACTATTTATTGAAAGTGCCATATTAAACCAGAACTATATTGCTGTCAAGAAAGTTCATCCAAAACAGAGTAAAAATATTGTGAAAATTTGACCAATTCTGTAGTGTATCAAAACATATTCAAATTGTTCGCTAGTTTTATGTTTATATATTTTCTACTGTTTTCGCAGGATAGTGACGAATCCAAAATTCTTTGTTTGATTTTGCACATGACACGTCGTTCTGAAATAAACTACGATGAAAATTAGTTTCATGTAACTTATTTATTGATCTCGAACCCAAGAATACAAAAACTCAACTAGAACTAGATGAATAAAAAAAGTGTGTTGAAAAGATAAAGTTAAAGCGATAGCATGTATCACTTTAACTGAGCATGTATCTTGAATTTATGTTCTCACTGGAAATAAGGCATTCAATTTTGATAAAATAGTTATATATTTTTAGACCACAAAATAAATTCATGAATGAATGTCACTTGCACTTTTACCACTTAAACCAGAAAAATGGCTAAGCAGAAACTCTTGTTTTTCAGATCATCGAAATTCCACATGACACCAGCAAAACAATTGACTTAGAGTATGATTTGGAATGGTTGGCTGTCCTTCATTTAACAAACCATTTGTTGAGTGTGAAGAAAAGCTTCAATTACATGCCAGGACCTGGTGGTGAAGGGAGGTTTGTAAAGGTTTGATTGTTAAAGTATAAGTAATTATTCAAAAATGTTAATTTTAAAATTAAATTTCCCATTTAAATAGGTGGAAATTCTCTCCTACTTCTGAAGAACTTGACTTGGTTCGAGAAAAATTTGGAAACAACTTTCTCATTCCAAAAAATTTTATCCCAACTGTGAAGGCGCATCTGAACAACACAGAAAATAACAGCAAAAATAGTGGTCAGGCCTCAGTTTTACTAAATCCACAAACAATCACTTTTTGTACTCAACTGGGGATTGATGATCCTCTAGCGCTGTTGCTGAACAACCCAAATGAAAGCTTTTTAAGTTCCAGTAGCGTTTCTTCTCGCACTCTTCCTAGCTCTCTCACACCGGAACGCTCCGGAGATTTTACGTCCTTCAACGACAGCTCAGAATTGTCAGTGCTAGGTGATAGTTCAGAAATTGAAGTGAGTTCATCGTTTACATATACTCCTTCAGGAGAAGGAAATAGTACATCACCATTGTCAGCAAGAAAGTCGAGTCTAGTTCTGCCTTCACCTCGAAATAGTATTGAAGATTCGTTCAGTAAAGAGTGTGAAGAAGATGCAAATGAATCTTCTAAGTTTTTGGATGGCTCTGTAAGTCAAGAAAGTGACTTAGACGACTTGAACAACAGCTGTGATGATGGTCCAGAAGCAAGTCCAGAATCCAAAGGTAAGGAAACTATGGACTTTCCTAATTTCTGTTCTATTATATCATATACTTAACATCATCAGAGGAACTAAAAGCTGCTTAATAGCTGATATCTATTAAGGATTTTAGTCCGACAATCATTAAGAAAATTCAAAACGAAAGAATGGTAGCTGGCCTATTCTAAGAAATATTTTTTTTCGTGTGTGCATGCATGCATGTATAAAAAGAAGATATAACAAAAAAGCGAACACAACAGGTTTGATGGGTTGTGAATCTTGGCTATCATCACAAAATACAAATTTGAACTATGCTTGTTATTTTCTATTTTAATAACAAAACGATGTTAATAACTATGACAATATTAAATTTCAAGGTTTTATTAGATACATACACAAGCACTGCTGAGTTTTAAGCAGTGATTCAGCAGTGATGCAATAAAACTTACGTGTGTCTTATTTGATTATATTACGTCTTGTAATATTTTTACGTTGGAAGATTTAAGTGACTACTACTACTACTAATAATAATAATATGTGATGTCAATGTGTGGATAAGTGGCATAGCAACTTCTATATAAATAGGAACGAGTAGATAGCAAAGCAACAGTGTAATGATAGTATTTTAGCAACATTATAAATGAATTGCATTCGCAATTTTTTGTATAACAGCTTTTAAATTTGTAAAAGAGGAATAGTTAAGGGAGAAAATTTCGTAAGTAATTTTCGATATTATGAAAACGTCAGCTGTGCCGCCACCTGCCACGATTTGCTCGCTGCGATGCATTGATATGTGTTATATGTGTGATGATGCAGTTATCCGTGCCATAAACGGCTATTACGTCATCGATAATGAACCCAGACCGCGATTGTTAAAACTGAGAGTAATTGATTAAAAGCTGGGAGTCAATATTGGCGCGAGTACGAATTAATAATACGAATCGTAAGAAATACGCATGCGATAGCTGACCTCATACGTGTGTTGTGCGGGAACAGGTATTTTGTCATGTGGTTACTGTTTTTTTTAACACACCCTTTCGGTCGAACCTTGCTTTCCTCGCACCTTTCTGATGTTTGTTTTCCATGTACGAAACTTCTTTTTTTTTTATTCTAGTGTGCGAATCTTCACGAAGGTGTGCGAAACATTGATGTTTCGCAATTGTCTTCAGTGCGGAATTCATTTGTTTTTACATACAATAGAGATACGACATTTACAGAAGTAAATGAATTAGAGTCAAAGTAATTTCACAAATGAGTTCAGAAAGCGATTCAGTCATAGACTTTGAAGATGAAAAATCGAAGGATTTGGCTGAAATGGCAAATAATATTCAACTAAATCTGTTGCCGGAAAAGTCGAGACGACAGTACATCTCGGCATACAGTGAATTCAAAAAGTGGTGCAAGGAACGAAAATCCACTTCTGTTGACGAAGAAAGCATTTTAGTTTATTTAGATGATTTGTCGAAAAATTTAGCTCCTTCAACATTATGGGCTCGTTACTCTATGTTGAAAGCCACCATTAATACATATGAGAAAGTAGATATCGGTACCTATAAAACTGTTCAAGCTTTTTTGAAGGGAAAAAGTGAGAACCACAAACGGAAGAAATCCAAAGTGTTCACTCCAGCTGAAGTATCGAAATTTTGCAACGAGGCTTCAGATGAAACATATTTATTGCACAAAGTGAGTTTTATTCCATTAAAATAGATGTGAATTTTATTACGTGTCATTAATGCAACTTTTTTAATTATATTATTTTTTGATTATTTCTTTGTAGGTCGTTTTTGTTATTGGCTTGTCTGGTGCATGCAGAAGGGAAGAACTTGCAAACATAACCGTGGAAGATATAAAAGATATGGAGGGAAAGATGTTGCATATTACCATACCGAAAATGAAGACTGGTGTCGAACGTTCATTTACTGTGGTTGGAGAGTTTTATAACATATGCAAAACATATCTTAAACTACGCCCAAAAGAGTGCAAGTGTAACCGTTTTTTCTTAAATTATCGAGCTGGGAAATGTACAAATCAACCTGTTGGAATTAATAAGATTGGTGCTATGCCACGAGTAATTGCCTCTTTTTTAAACTTGTCAAATCCAGAATTATATACTGGTCACAGCTTTCGACGAACATCAGCAAAATTGTTGGTTGAAGCTGGTGGAGATATCACTGCACTGAAGAAACTCGGTGGATGGAAATCAACACCTGTTGCTGAGGATTATGTGGAGGCTTCTATAGGTCACAAAAGGAAAATTGCCGAACAGATCAATAATTCAATTTCAATTTCAGTATCGTCTACTTCAAAATGTACTTTGGATTCTAAGTCATCATCTTCAAATTCTAGTTATTCATCAATAAATGAAATATCATGTGAAGAACTGAAATTGAAGTGCCGGAAAAAAAATTCTAATATTAAACAGAGAGATTCATTTGATGTACAAGATGTAGAAGAAATATTTTGTACTCCGTTTGTGCCCGATATGGAAGAACATTCAGACGCACCATCTATTTCTATAAGTCATTTAAGAAATGAACGAGTTTCCTTTCAGTTTAATAATTGCTCTGTTAATATTGTTATAAATGAAAATTCTAATAAGAAATAAGAAAATGTTGTAATATATACATATTGTGTTATACATAATATAATTTCTGGATATTTGAATTACTATGTCTATGTATTAATACACTAATGTTTTAATTCAGAAAGAAATTTGTGCTTTCAATTGAACCAAATTTGATGATTACTGGTTGTGTTCCCATATGTGATATTACTCATTATAATTAACTGGTTTTAGAGAATTAACACAACTTTTATTTAATCATAAAATTAATGGAATGATAGCTTATCTGTCATCAATTGTTCATTACATCATTTGATGGTATCAAGAGATTCAAGGTTTTAGTTTGCAGCGAGCAAATTTAGTGTTTTGAGTGTGTGGTTAAAATTTGAGATGGAGTATTTTTTTTAAATGTATAGTTTATGTAGTGTGTATAAAGACAATGTCTAGCAATCATCTGAAACAAGAGAAGTGTTAATGATGTGTTAAGAATTGTTTTAAAATTAGGTGGATAGCAGTGTTTCCTGCTAGCAAAACCCCTTAATAAGACACACTTGGAGGAATGGAAGTTTATCTCTTGAAAGTGGAAGATTGGTTTTTGACAAGTTCAATGAAATGCTACCATATTTTTAAAGGATTATTACGATTTGTACACTACTTTAAACTTGAGGGATCATAAATTTCGTGATACCAGTGCCCATTTAGCCAGATCTTTTGAGTTTCAATGTACAGCAAAATCCTGTTGTAAGGTTGAAGAGTGACAACAGGGGCACAAAAGGAAACTTTTCCTTTTCCTTGAATGGTGACAAACAAATTTTCTTCATGGTATCCATCTTCCCAATACCATTGAAAATTTCCTCTGGTGTGAATAATTTTTTTCTGAAACATCAGTATCTTCAATGTTTCTGCCTCAGCTCTCCATAATTGCCTTTTACACTTGTCAACCTTTTAAAATACGTCCAACTTCTCGGACAATGACAAAACCTTTCGTTTCGATGCCATCACTTACAGATCTGTAGAAGGCAAAAACAACAAAAAACTGAGCATTCAAATTCACACGCTTATTACTTATGTATGTCCTTGTGAGATTGCCCACGTAGCAATGAAACTGATTGAAACCACCCAAGTAAAATAAAATTCTGTATGCACATAGCAGAAAACAGCTCCACAGCACTGAAAATAATTGGAAACGTGTAGGCACTGTAGTGACTTCCTTGTGGTCAAGAGAATTGAAGCTTACTGGATGAGCTTTCCTCAAGAGACCACCCTGGTGGAACTGGTGTTGCAAAACTCTGCTTCAGTTCATTTTAAGCGCATGTCCCAACTCTTTCCACTCTTGACGAAATGGCTGAGTCACCTGCAGGAAAATTCAACATCTTCTCTTGCAACTGAAACGTGTCGGAGAATAGAATCTTGTCCGCAGTAGGTGGGAATCTCCTATAACAGGGTCTCTTAAATGTGGGGAATAAATGCATTGTTTATATACAACTGACCCTAGGACCATGCATTTTGTCTCCTATAAGCGGAATTTTCTTATACGGGGTCTCCTAAACCTCCCTCATTTCATCAATCTTAAAGTAGGTACTAAACGACATAAAACTGTTTTGGAGGAGTTTGATTTTCCATATCGGAGTATCGTTCTGTTGAAACTTTTCTATATTTTTTTTTCCTTTTGTCTGATGTAATCACAAGGATTGAGCTAGTTTAATTTGTATTCTTGAACTTGAAGCTCTGCTTTTCATCCATAGTGTCTTAAAAATTGAATATTTAACAAGTCTGAGGTGAGCCCAGTTGTAATTCTGTTGCTTTGCTCTGGCAAGGAGTAAGAGGATAGGTGTGGTCTTGCTTTAGGCCTCGGATTTTCTGAAGTTTGGTACGTTTGGATTTTAGTCAACATTAAAATTTTCTTTACGTTTAGTGAAATTACAAATTGGGGGAAAATTTAAAAATACTGGAAAAAGAGGAAAAGTTAGGGAAATTTGTTCCAGGAAATTATCACTCTACTTAATGTATATATTTTAAATTCATATAATTAAATTTAGCATTTTATCAGTTTTATGATGTGAGAAATCCTATAAGAAATTAGTTCATGAAATGTAAAATTTGTAAACTGTTATATATATTGATGGATGTAAAAAACTGGCCGCTTTTGAGAGCGTTTTAAAAATGTCTCAAGGGCTTAAAGGAAGCAGGATTACCTCTTCATGTAAAACTGAGAATTTCAATTCCAGAAAAAAATTCAGGGAAAAAAGTTTTCAGGTTCAAAAACTTGATTGCCGATGTAGAATTCGAGCCAACAATTGTTTCCGATGTCACGAAATTATTTATAAGAAGTTTTATTAATTATAAGAAAGTTTAAAGATCTCTTTTAAGGTAATTTCGTCATTTTAAGCCATAAACTAACAAATTAGACGATATTCTATAAAACATTTTCTAATGTATGTGAAATTCTAAGAAAACAATTAACATTAATGTTGTCCATTGAAATTGAATAATGTCACAAGGAATTTCTTTCTTTTTCATGAAATTCTGTAGAAACTGCTGATCTAAATCAGTATTAAAATTACCCAAATTATAAATGATATTTATAATACTTTCAAAAAAAATCTTTCTGAGAAGGAAGCTTGTATCTAGCTGGGAAAATGAAACCCAGGGTGATGTTGACTGTTCATATTTTATTGCACAGTGTTACAAATTATTTTCGAAACATCTAAAAAATTTTCTATTTTCTTGTAATACAGATGGCCAACGAACCTGGAATCCCAGAAAGCCGGTAAATAACCGGGAATTTGAAAAAAACTGGAAGAACCGAAAAAAACGGGTATTTAATTTGAAAACTGGATTTTTTGTTATCATCCCCAACATTTAGCATCGTTTTCAGGAAAGTGTTTGATTCAACTTGGAATATGACAATGTTGAATGAAAATCGAAATATGTGTGAGAAGTGCCACATGTAAGTTTGAGGGTTACATAGGCCTTCACTCGCGTAACACAACTTCAAACACTTCCGCGTGTGTAGGTGCTGCGTGCTGTCCTTCGGATGTCAAAATTCCATTGCAACCGTCGACCACAAGATGAAAATGTCCTGTCGCCCAAAAGCTCAAAGGAATCAAGCACTGCTGCGTGGGCGTTAGAGGCTTATTGCTACAGAGCGATTTTTATAAGAATAGATCGTTTAGACAGGTAGTGTTGGCAACACAACAGAAGGTTCTGCGGTCGTGTTCTTGAGACTATTGCTCTCTCCTTCCTCCATTCGTTCATTTACAGTTGGCTAAATTTAAATAGCTTCGACGCTTCCTTTTGTGATGCCCTCGTCCCACGAAAATATAGTGCGCCAGGAGGCAGTATTAAGAAATTTTCACACATACCTAATTGTATTTCAATATTTCCCGGACTCATGTGCATGTACCTGAGGGGAACTCAGACTTCTGTATATTTTCACGGGAGGCATAAACACTTTACGAAGGGGCGTGGCTGAAAAGTTGCAAGGATACTTCTCTGAATTACACGTGATGTTCACTTGTTTAGCGAACTGTCACTTTGGCTCAGTCTTATCAAAATCGCTCTATATTTGGAGGGTATTTCAGGCGCGATTCTATTTCTTCTAAAATCTTGAGGGACATTCTGCATCTGATTACGAACTGAGCATTGTTCAGAAGTTATGAAAATGTTTTCTTTTTTGTTTGTTTGAAGAATTCGTTCTGGTCTCTTTTTAACCAGTAGTAGTAGGTCCTTAGGTCGAGCACGAACTCTGATGATCCTTAACGCATATGCGCAGCAGTTACAGGCTGCCTTCACTTTCACTATTGTTGCTCCTGAGTCTTCTCGCTAAAGCCGCTGTTATTGTGCCCCGCCATCTTTGCCTTTAGTTAATCCTGTGATTTCGGACCATTCACAGTTCAATGTTTTACTTTCCCTTATACTTATATACGTAATATACATAGAATAGGGAAAGTTGCGTAATGCTGCAGAAAATCAATTTCGAGATTACAACGGAAATACGTTTTGGGGTTCCCTGATACCGAAAAAGTGTTTTGTTCTTTTTTTTTTTCTCTCTTCAAAACGTCCATCCGTCCATGAACCTACTAGTGCCTATTCCATGCGTTGGATTTTTTCCCAAATTGAAGAAATCCCTGTCCACCTGGCTCGAGTTGTAGCTCAAAAGTGACTAAACATTTTTCTTTAAATTTACTGTAAGAATAGAGTAAAATACACATAAAGGTAGCATATGTCCTATTTTCAGGATTAACTATATTTTCGAAAATTACCGAAGTTTTAATTTTTTCCGCGTCTTCCTACAACTACAAAATTGAGTTTTTTCTTCATATAAATTTGTTGTTCATAATTAGTTCTTTTATTAAAATTAGGTACCATTTTTTGAAAATCGTAGTTTTCGGGCAACATTGCGTACAATAATTGCAATTTTAAAAAAATTTATAAAACCAAGGTTTTCTCAAAAACGGCTCCTAATTGTTTCTTTATACTTTTGGTAGGGATTTAATGCATTCTATGAGATGACAAAGCCATATTATTTTTTTCAAAATTAGAAAACTGTAATTTTTTTTTACGTACAGGATTGTAGTGAATGTTATGGAGAAATACACAATGCATATATCAGTGTGGCAGAGAGAATGGCTGTAAGCGTGCAGTCTGGTAGGCACTTCGCAACGGACTGAAATCGTTATCCTGTTGGGTGACAGCGAGCAGACCGGTGTTCGGTGGGGAACGGAGTGGCCACGAACAAGTCTGCACCTGTCTGGTATCTTGAGGAAATTGAGAGGCCCGAGAGGTAGCGCAGCAAGTGGCCAGCGGGAGAATTAGTTGAAAAACAAACATGAATCGTTCGTAAACACGAAGGCGAGTGTGCAGTTTTGGTATAACTAGAATTCTGGTTATACAGCGAGTTCTGACAAGGTTCACGGATACACATTAAAGTGAAATATGATGGGCGATTCACTTATTCAAATTAATTTAACTTCTTCACTTAAAGATGTCAACATCAATGTTGTCAACGTCATGAAAGGAAATAACAGCCTATTGAGCGAAAAATGACTTTAGATACTGCTGTTTAATCAGCACCACTTACGTAGATCTATTTTTAGGTGGTGTTGGTGTAATTCCCGGGATACTCACCAAGATCGCTGCAACAAAACACGAAAAATACGGTTTGGAAACTTTTTAGAATCATGTCCGGATCCGAAAACATTATCAGTTCCCCATCAGGAGACGTCGAATGTGTCTCAATTGGTGCAAGGAAAGTGGTCTCACCGAGAGTGACGGAACCGCACATCCGCACACTCGATGAGTTATTCAGATAATATACAAGCATGCATCGTCCACTATCTCTAAGTATCGTAATGCAGTCTTGTCATCCTTCAATGCCTCTTCCACTGTTGGAACACGCTGCCCCACTCTCCAAAGGCCCTTGTACTTGCCTAATAACATACGAGACCCCTTCAGTAGCGGGACGACGCAGGCGCCTAATGAAACTGGTCGCTTTTCCGCGCGGCGCGGGGGGTCGCCTATGTAGAACACGACGCGCTTTGCCCCGCGGAATATAACACCAAACTGGAACTGAAGCAAACAACTGAAAGGCATAGTCTCCGCCAGTTTCAACCCACGTAGGGCACGGCCTCTGTTTCCGCAGTGAATCTGTCTGGCAACTCAGTTTGTTCCATGTCTGCGGACTAGCGCGAAACCGTGTAATTAACGCTCATTTCTCATCTTCTTTGATTTCGTCTAAATCATCGAAGTATCAATTCCAATTCCTCAAAATTATTTATCAGTGGTAAATTATCATATTCATATTCGGATAAATCGTTTCTGGGTACCAGCACCATATCCTGTAAAAGACGTTTATGCAAGGAGACAAATATACAAAACAACTAAATTCCAAGAAATATTCCACATTAAGAATAAGAAAGCAATAAATTATGAATAATTTAAATATAATGGAAATATGTATTAACATGAAATGCACTAATATGCTATATACAATCATCGTATTCGTTTGTGTCTTATGGTCATTTGATAATCAGAATGTTATAGAGCTCATAATTCACGGGAAAGGTAGGAAAATCGAAGCAGTGCAGTATTGCTTTTGTCTTTCTTGCGGAAAAATCGTCCCAGGAACATTTATTTGCTAACTCATAATTGAAATATTTCGTTTTGACGCATTAATATGGTAAAGTGTGACGAAATAGTAAGAACTGTATAGTATTAGATAAAATATGTCATTATACCAAAATGTGTAAAATAAAAATGGTTTTAATACTTTGAGAATGGGATCCAAACTCTAGAAAAATTATTGAATGCAAATATCTTCTACCAGTAAAAATAGGTATTTACATGGAAATCCATTCCATTGTTCTAAGGCACTTGAATTAGTATTGAACTTCGAGGACAAATCTACTATAGTCAGTACTACTACAGTACAAATCTACTAATGTACAGCTTGTCCTCCCCTCATAAAATGTTACTATTCTAAATGTATGTAAATTCAGTGGTCAGGCGGAAGAGCAGGCCCTATGGCCTGAGCCTCGCCATTAATAAAGACATTATTATTATTATTATTATTATTATTATAGTCATTTTTTAGGGTTCACCTGAACTATTATATCCTACCTGAACTAGTACACTGAATATTTGTAACTTCTAGTTTAAAACATTGTTATGCCTGACGTTCGTGTATTTCATTTGAAATTCAAAATACACTTTCTTTATCCACATTTCTTGCAGTGAAAACCGATTTGTCGCCCTTTGCTGCGACTGAAAAGCGCCTTTTTCGTTCGTGCCGCTCGATGTCGCATGATCGTTCGCAAGCACTGTTTGATACGGTCACTATAATGCGACATCTAGCGGCACGACCGAGGAAGACGCAAAATGTCGTGACATATGCCGTCGTGAAGATGGGCCTTAAGAGGCAGCTATATAAAAATCACACTATAATGTAACATCATGTTCTTCCTCGTCTCAGTAACGATTACGTGATACACCACAATTCTGTTGATATTAAGACATTTCAGTCGTCACTTGTAAAACTCATCATAAATCGTAGAACATTATGTGTAAAAACTATTTCTTTTAAAGGTAATATCAACACAAATTGGACAGTGAAAACTGCGTTTTATAAAGCCAAAATAGTGTCTCAAAAATGAAAAGGAAATCTTAGAATTGCAAACTGGTGCGGCGAGGGTTTGCAATATCGTATATGTCAGGACTAAAGTGTCGAAGAGTCTAGCAAATGAAGCACGGAAAATTTGAATTTGCACATTTCGAGAATTTACTAAAATTACACTGAACTACTCGTTTTAATAAGTTGTTCATGACTTTTTTAAATAACTAATTTTTACTTTCTCGTATACGTACGTACATTGCGACCTGTCTTCCTCTTTCTACGCGATACCACTCCAGGCACTAATCCGTCTCTTGAAGAGACCAGCATCAACTGTAAGCCATTGAGGCTTCTTGGGAAGCACCGATTTGTTTACCGCAAATCAAGCCTGCAGCATGCTTTTCTTACTTTTGGTCTAATTTACCAGCCTGATCACAATGAAATAGACAACTTATTAAAAATAGAGTTCTCAGGGCATTATAAGCAGGTGGAGGTCTAAAAGCAAGACCAAATGTACGTACCATGACAGTTTTAACATTGAAAATCACTGTATAATCTGACTCAAAACCAATAATATATATATATATATATATATATATATATATATATATATAATAAACAAAATACACTAATGATATGAATATACCGTTACAAAAAATTACATTCAGCAAGAAAAAATATTTGAGTAAGCTTTTACCAAAATGAAATTACACTTTTTTAGATTTTTCAAAAGGGAACCTCAAACTTACATAGGTCCAATTTTAATTTCTTGCTAACGCGGTAGAGAGAACTTTATATATTCTCACAGGCCGGCGCGGATGATCCGCAGCCAACGCGGAAGATAAGATCGCCGCGGAACTTTCGGGTCGCGTGTTGCCTTATAAACATGTTTAGACCTGCGCGGCAGCGGATTGTCAGCGTTGAATCTGCGGCGAATTTTGAAATACAGTCGGCGTTTTATCCGCCGCTGCCGAGTTTTGTGCATATCCGCCCGCCTTCGGGAGACTTCGCTCCCTTGCCTTCGCGCAAAACTCTGCCGCTCGGGTTTCGCTGTGGAACCTAAGGCAAAGACTCGTCAGATGTCCAATATTTTCAGCTTATTGTATTTTTTAGTGTAAGTTGTACGAATGATGTCTAACAAAGTTTCTCGAAAACTTGAAACGTTTCTGTGAAAATTGGCTCGAAATTCCTTATTTTCAGAAACTTTCAAACATTTTCTTTAAAATGCCTTCATCTATTACAATAAAAACTGACATGTAGGTCCAAGTTTTATTCTTCTATAGTATTCCTGAAGCCATTTCAGTTCTACCATTTAGGAAACGAAAAAATGTGAAAATGTGAAGGGGAAAAATACCCTTTAAGCGGCAATAAATTACAACAGGAAAGAGGTGAGGTAAAACCGAAAAGCTATTATAATGGGAACTACTGAGATGTATTATCCTAAAGTTTAGATAACACATCCAAAAGTAATGGATAAATAGAGCGAATCCAAACCTTTACATGCTTCATTGAAATATTAATGACCATATAACATTTGGTAAGGCTTCAGTTCCTTTGGATACCGGATCCAAAGAAAAAATATATTTTGAAGTATTATAAAATGCATTTGGATACTGCCGTGAACCCTGCCCGCATTCACTTCCTCCTTTGTTTATGTTTTGATGTGTAATTTTATTTAACTCTCTTTTTATTCTGTATAAGCGGTAAACGAGACCAAGAAATTTATTTTGCCTTCGTGTAAATCACGTCCTGTTTATAAAAAACTTGGGTGCTTCAAGGAGAGATTATAAGGTGTCTTAACTACTGTGCTTTACGAATGAAGACACTTAAAATCATTGAATACACAGTGAACATCTATTAACTTTATGAGAAATAGCATGAAATTTCAAAAATGAATTTTTCAAATTTATTTGACCAAGATCTTAAAGTAATGGTAACAAGAAAATGTATTCGTTTCATCAAGTGATTCTATACAAACTCAAAGAAATGTGTTTTTTTTTTTTTATTTTTTTTTATTTACAAAAAATACGTTAGGTACCGTGTTTCAATCTTAGACCCCTCTTATGATATTATACTTTAAGAAATTAAAGTTAGGCCGAAAATAAAATTAAATCCTTCAATGTATCGTGGACGTTACCAGGACGATAAAAAGCCCTCGGGTCAAAGGCCCTCAGGCTTTTGTCGCCGCTCGATCATTAGATGCCCTTATAAAAATATATACACAAACAGTATTATGTTACGAAGATTTACATCTTCAACTCCTTTCTTCATTTTCTGTGCCTAAGTTTTTGACTTGTGAATGAAATATTTCTTTACTACTTTGTGCTATGTATTACTAATAATATTAATGTTTATTTTCTAATTTTCTTCCAGAAACGTGTGATCATACTGAAGGGGAAAGTAGTACACAACCAAAAATGAAAAAATTTAGAAGACGCAATGAAGCCATATATTCTAGTGCTGATGAAGATTATTAGAGACGCCACGTGTTGCGGGACGAAAAGAAAGAAAAAGTACATTATTTTTTTGAAATAATGACTTGCGACGTCATAAATGTAGACATTTTATATCAATATTTTTATTCAAATAGGTTTTTACGAACTTTTGGATAGTATTTCCAACCAAAAGTGGATGCACTGATAGTGACTATTATTGATTATTTCTGATTTCTAATTTGTGTTGATAAATAAAAGAATCATATTGTGTATTTAAAAAGAAAATAATTGGGTGAATGTACATTTGCAAATTGTAAATTTGAGCATTCATATCTGTTGTGTTTATATTTCTGAAATAATTGATTTGCAATTTTATGTATGCACAGCTGGTTGCATAACATGTTTCGTGGTTATTAATGTATATTCCTTTTGCAATAATTTATTATTTTAATGAATTTGTTTAGCTATATTTTAACCAGATTTTATTTTATTGTAAATATGATATAAAATATTGTAATTGTGGAAACATTTTATGACAATGGAAGGAATTGCATTTTTCGGGATATTGATAATAGATTTTTGAGAACAAAACCTCTGCCGTTTGTTAACATCCTACATATCCTACAAATTTGTCCATTTGCTATAGTTCAACGTGCAGACCTGGCAACCAGGAAAATAAACTTGAGAGCCAATCTGGGCTGAAAAGAATGAGTTTCCCCTCAAAAATGTATTATTCATTTGAGCGAGAACTTCCGTTTCGGAGGGGGAACACCAATGGGCATTCTGAAGGCATCCCTTCCGGGGTTGCGACTCGCCTGCTTTGCACTGGGAGACTTCTCTCCACTCATTAATTAGATCGTTGGTGAGGTAGATACATTCTAGTATTTAAGTGTGGTAAATAAACAATTTATTTTGCTAAAGATCGTTGCGATCGCGTAGCGATCATCCTCAGAGCTTGCAACTTGCGGGCCGAAAACAAAGTTCTACCCACACTTCTTCTCCACACTAGCTTTATTTCATCAACCACCGCATCATCAAAATTAAAGATAGGTTTTATCTTCAAATAAAATTTGTTGTCCTTAATTTGTTCTTTCATTAGGTACATGCACATTTTTTAAAAAAAAAACAAGATTTCTCAAAAACCGCTCCAGATTTTCTCTTTAAACTTTTGGTATGGATAGTGCTAAACGCACTATATTAGATGACATAAACGCCATATTGCTACATTCTTTTGGTTGTTTTTTTAATTGCAAAAATTTAATTTTTTTACTTCTCTCACGTCGTTAATATTTACATTGGCAACAATTTGCTCACATTTATGAGAAAATGTGCTTCAAATAATGTCACGTCAAGCTTCTCGAAAACTCAACCGTTTTTCGTCGAAACTAGCACAAAATTTCGCACTTTCAGAGACTCAAACGCCATTTTTGCAAAAACGGCTCCAATTCTTTTTTAAACTTTTAGATTTTGGGTCAGGGATGTAGTAGTACAGTTCCAACTGGGCGTGTATGGAGCGCATAGTCTATAGATTGTGAAAAAAATGAACACTGGAGCGACGTGGAGCACGTCAGTTTCATATGTACAGATTTTAATATATCTTAAATGAAGACTTTTAATTTCATTATGCTCCATTCTTTTTTGCGTATATTCGCGAAGAAAGTTCAGTAATTGGTGTTACTTGGTGTTCATGTTAGAGAAGCATCTGGCAAAACCTGGATCACGTCATGTGCGCCTGCTAATATGAAGGTCATTTCATAACTAATGCGCAGTATTATATTCACGTGTTTATTTTTTGTCAAAATGCCTCTACAATCCTTCAATGTCTTCTCAAATGCTGAGACCTAACACCTCAGAAGCTTTAGAATTCTATCACGTGCCCCTTCCTAGTTCATTTGACGAATTGTTCTAGCAACGGCTACAGAAGCTACGAAGAAGAAAAAAATACATTTTTGCAAGTTCATTATGTTACGCATTCAGAATCCTTTTAAATTCTGTCAGCCATCGTGCAGCTCGTATTTTGCAAATGTGCATTCTCACCTGAGATGGGCCAGACCTTTAGATTTCAAAAGAAAATTATTCGAATACTAAAAAATGCTATCCGCGTGAACCCTGCGAGCCTCTCTTCGTTGAGGATGGAATCTTGCCTTTGCCTTCCCTATTTATTGACGAATCTGTAATATTTGCGAAAACTGTCTTACTAAACGGGAACATATTTTCAAGTAATACTGCAATTTATAATTACAACATACGCCGTAGAAATCACTTTCATCAAGTGTCAGTATCAACTGCTCACTATCAGAAGTCCACATACAATACTTGTACGTTACTTTACAACGCATTGCCACTTGACATTAAACAATTGAAGTCGGTACACAAATTTAAGTTAAGAGTAAAATCTTTTCTGCTGTATAACTATTTCTAATCAATTAGAGACTATACTGATCACCAAAAAAAAAGTAATGCTCATTTTTAACAAAACAGTGATACATAAAGAATTAGTTAACATTTGTATTGTATATTTTTATAAGACTTTTTTATATAAGACTTAATATATTCGTAACAAATAATGTACTTCAGCTTCCTGGATAATGACCCCCCCAACTTCATCAGGTTTTTATCCCGTTTCTCTGACTGAGCATTGACATTGGCCCCTTGTTTTGCAATTTTGCCTTTGGAAATAAATGTAGCTTCACTTTGCGCACGTTTTGTTGAACTATTTTGCTTGTAGTGGTAGGAGTAGAGGAAAGAGCGAGTTACTATTTTCTTAGCACTGCAGAAAAGTCAAATCTTATTTAGATTTATTTAGTCAAAAAACAGTAAAAACTATATGGAACGTATGGGGGAGAAGATTATCTGCGCACGTTTTCTTCAGTTCGTTTACCGTAAATACGTTTTCTATAACTCGAGATAGAGAATGTATATTTATTCAAATGTTGCTAATCTCGCATTGTTTTAATTTTTTTAACTTTTTACTGATCTTTCAACTACTTATAGTTAAAACGATAGCAAGGGATTCTGGCCCTCAAGAATACGTACGCAGATGATCTCCCTCATACGTCACATAGGGTTTTTATCACTAAATAAATATAAAGCAAAAGATAAGAAACTGGGTGTACTCAGTAGGTGTATCAGTACGTGAGCGGTTGTCGTGGAGAATGAGTTGCTCAAATTAGAAGTCGCAAAAGAAATCCCATCCATGCAATTTAGCTCTCTAGCAATCTTCTCCCCCACACGTCACATACAGTTATTACTGTTTATTTGAGTAAATAAATCTAAAAATCTAATCTAAATCTCCCGCAGGGTTCTAATTTAGGCCCTTTTCTCTTTCTAATAGACTTAGATGATATGACCTCAACGATTCGAAACTGAAGAACAGCTCTCTTTGCGAATGACACGAATATTCTTTGCTATAAAGAAATAGTAAATGATGGAAAATCAGATTTTCAAACTGGTTTCGTAAAAAAATTAATAGTAAACGAAAAGGAAAACGTTTTCAACACTGTTGTTCATTTGAAATAAACAATTTCACACTCCATTGACAATGAAAGATGTGCTATTGGTGTCAAAGGTAACGAAATGGTTGGGTCTATCAATTCAGTCAAACCTGAAATGGAATATCCATTGAAATTAATTGAACACAAAACTAAGTTAATTATACCACGGGTTCAGAATTCTTTGAAATTCAGCCAGCTTTAATTCTCCTCATATATTTCGCGAATGTTCATTCTCGCCTGGGATATGGCCTATTCTAGAGAAATGCATCATATACCTCCTAGAATTTTAGATTACAGGAATTAATTGTACGAATAATAAGTAAATCCCAACCATGTTAATTTTATTAACCTAGGAATTAGATTGAAGGCACAATAAAAAAGAAACGCCTATGGCTGTGGACATAGATTTCGTACCGCATCAAGATATATATGTGAAAATAATCTTCAATTCAAGATCCAGCAGCAGGCGAGGTCAGAAGACCATCACCACCCAGATGTTCGGACAATCTCAAAACCACTCCAGATAAACCAAAGATGAGAAAGAAGCAATGAAGGTATCCTAATTAGAATCATACAAATTCACTGTAATATATGGTAGAATTGTAAAACCAGTAATTAAATTAAATACGTAAATTCTAATCCCTATTAAGAAGTCGCGCTATTATTCTAGATTGGTTATGTTTCATACCTTCAGCAACTATCTCAGAGAGTAAATATACCGTACTGGAATGAAGGGACATTATTTACTCACCAATCCGATGCATTGCCAATTGCGCATGGGATCCCGTAGTGTTCGGTTTTATACTTTATTCTCTTCCTAACATACGAGTATGTAAACTATGTGCCCTCGGCGATTCGAGACGGAAGGACAGTTCGCTATGCTGATGATATGAATATTCTTTGCAATTAAGAAACTATCAGATGTTTCAATTTGGTTCCGTAATAAAAATTAATAGAAAACGAAGGGTAAAACTGTCAATGCAATTTTCCATTTTAAATAAACAATTGTTCACTCCATTGATTATGAACGAAGTGTCATTGACATGTTAAGGCAATAAACTTTTTGGGTCTCTCTGTTCAGTCAAACCTCACTCCCTCTGTTGAAATGAATTGAACACAAAATTAAATTCGTTACGCTACAACCATAATTCTTTCAAATTCAGTTAGATTTCTTTCTAATATTTGTGTTTTTTCGCGAATGTACAGTCTCGCCTGAGATACAGCATAATATTCTGAGGAAATACCATATAGCTCGCAGATTTCTAGATTACAGAAAAGAATTGTACGAACAACACAAGTCTGAAAGTAAAAAACTGCATAAGAGTTTTATACATTTTCTTATAGATTTCAACTTTGTGAAACGAAAACATTCCAAAAATGTTCCATCTCGTCAATTTTTTCGCTACTTTCAATTTTTTTGTATTTAGCGTATAATTGCTATTTTACTTAAAATATAGTATTCTGTTATTTTTAAAATAGCCTTTAAATTAAAACTTCTCACATTAATTATATCAATTATGCCTGAACTTGTCAATAAATGAAAAAATGTTAATTGTTGAAGAGAGTAGTGGTAGGGGTGGTAGATAAAGTAGTTTTAGCGTTATCTGAAAGGACGCGTGATCGTGTGATAAGGATTAAAAGTTGATAGTGAGTGACGTTTTCTTGAGTTCCAGAATCGCTTCCCGTCATTTTAACTATAAATAGTTGAAAGATGAGTAAAAGTTTTACGTAAATAAATAAAAATAAATGTTTAAAATCACAAGATTAGCAATATTTGAAAAATAGTCATTTTCGTTTCTGAGTTACAGAACACTTATTTGCATCGGTACACGAATTACAAGTATGATTTTTCTGCATTGATACCAAAATAGCAACTCACCTTTACCTCTACTCTTACCATTACAAGTAAAAGGAGAGTTCAACAAAACGTGCGCGTAGTGAAGCTATTTTTACGTCCAGAAGCAAAGCCAAGTCAATATCAGCGTTGCTCAATGGATCACGGAAACTGTACAAAAATCTGATTGAGGTGGTTGGATTAGATCAGTTTCCAATAAGCAAATTAAATTCAACCACACTCAGTTTATATTCAGCATTCAAACGAACTGTGATTCTTATTTTTATGTGGTAATTACATTGTAAAAAGTCAACAAAGAAACATAAGTGAGATTGCGTGTTTCAAATTGAAGCTCTTGGAAATCAAGACAATATGGACTTCACATAAGGTGTGAAGAAGCTGTGAGGAAGATCTTCGTTTGTGGTTTAAGGGTAAAAATAAAATAAATTACTTACTCAAGAACGGAAACATATTTCCAAGCAATACAGATGTCTCAGACAATACAGCAATACAGATGTCAGACAATACTCAACGTAGAAATCCTATACGCCAGTTGTCAGTATCAACACCTCACCACAAAAAATTTACATACAATACGTGTTCATAATTATAAAATTCGCTGCCAGATGACATTTATCAATTATAAACGATACACAATTTGAAGTGCCAGGTAAAATCTTTTCTTCTGCATAACTGTTTTATATACAATTAGAGACTATAATATTTAATGTATGAGTTACCGTTTAGTGTGTACAATTCTTAAATACCCTGTAACAAGTATTGTACCCTATCTTCTGGGTCAATGAACTTTATTTCGATCAGGTTTTTCGTCTAGATGCCCTCATCCATGAGCAAAAACTGAGACGCCCCCTTCCCGGTTTCTCGATAATAGCTTACATGTGCAGCTGTCTTACCTTTGCAAATAGTTTTTAGTATACGGGAGCGAATATTTTCACATCAATTCTTGCCAGAATAAATGAATTCATAATTCAGCTTAATATGTATATGAGTTGAAATAGATATCCCAGAGCTCAAGAAACCATGCACACATTGCACTTCTCCCCGTAGAACGTAAGACAGTTTTTAACTGTTTTTTCGACGTTAAATAAATATATTAAAAGTCTGAAAAGTCAAAGAAACACCAATTTATATTACGATTAAAATCACTACTTAAAAATTAACGGATTTATTATTAAAATGTTTATGGTAATTGATTTTCATTTACGTAAATTAAGTTTATAATTTCAGTTATCAAGTCAGAAAATAATAAATAAAACATTTTGATGGCAATAAAAAAATGATGGTGCTATTTTGCGGGTCCAAATATGCAGAAATCCCGGAATCAATTTCTTCTAAAAGTGTGCGTCAGGGGTGTCTCCTAATTTATTTAAAATATACTTACAAAAAGCGCTAGAAACATGGAAAAAGGAAGTTCAATGAATAGATGTTCCTGTAGGAAATAGAAATATATACACTTCATTATTTGCAGATAATCAGGTAGGTAATAAAAGTACTGGATGCTGAAGATGTGAAATAGTACATGTTTAGGAAATTATTAGAAATGACCAAAAATGATATGTAAAAGACATTTTATTTTGGGTGTGGAGTATCGTGGAATATCGTTCAGTTTTGTGGAAAATCGTCTGAACGGTTTAGCAACTAGCGTTGTTCACAAACGGACGGACAAACACGTTTTGCTGTAAATACGATTTTTCTGTATCAAGGTCGATATATACTCTCTGTCAAGGTCTTACAAAACATATTCCAAAGTCTTTGTACAAAACATGGATTTTGGCTAAACCACGTGTTAGAGGTTTTTTTCTAAATTAAGCAATTGGATTTATCCACTTTTTTGTTATCAGAGCTCTGTAACGAGTTTCTGTCGAAAATTCACCGTTTTTTTCGCGCAGCATTATATAATTTTGTTTCTACTGCGTAAGTAATATCGAAAAAGGCAAAACATGGTGATATTCAAATCAAATTATAATTAAGTAACTCATTAGTACTTTTTGTGAATTGTAATATTATTAATAGTAACAGAATTAATTTGTTTACCATCGCAGTATTGTAACTTGTCGCATAAATCATGAGATTTTATGGTCCCTGATAAAACACTGCACATTCTATAACGGGACGAGATCGTTGAACGGAACGTGCAAGTGAATTTACGTTGTTCATCAAACGTAAAAGAACGAGACCATTGCCACTTGACATGAAGATCAGAGTTTGCATTTGCGGTTTTGGGGCGCCAAGTGCTATATAAAACTGCTTCTTAGAACGATGCCGGCGGTGCCGGCTATTTAGAACCACAAGGGGGCATAGCTCTGAGTCGGGGAAAATGCAAGGTTTCTACCGACTTTTTATTCAGTGACATATAACATTTTCTCCTTTAAAGCAACCCGTAAAAGTGACGGATGCAGATACAGTCAAACAAATGAACTGAATAAACACATACAAGAGACGATGAATTGCATTTCAGACCTCGCATGCACGACTGCATTGCATACCTCGATGGGTGGTATAATATATTTTAATATATTCCAAATATTTCCACCGTGGTTGCGGCTAGATCCCCTACGGCGTTCGGTGACACAAGCGCCAATGTGGTGTTTTGGGGCTACTATTACGAGCTGATCATCCCGGTTCTGTCCGTTCCGCGACGTATCAGTTCTACGAAGAGAGTGGTTCTATGCCATTCCTTATTGACAGCACTTACATTGCGTTTGCTGTTGATATTGCTTGAGCGTTTCAACTGCAATAATGTTTAATTAGTAGTTTTTGTTACTACATTCAAGTATTATTAGAGTTATAGTATTGCCATAGCATTATTGTGTTTGTAAACGTATTACTAGTTATTTTACTTATTTTATGAAGTGTAGGGAGCAAATGGAATCGAAGTCATGTGCTTAATGTGTGAACCCGTTATAAGAGTACATTTAATTATTAATAAATGTTTCAAATAAAACCAAAATTTAATTATGAATAAGGGCATATGACTGTTCCAAAATATCTTGCAAAATCTGCTTAGGCGTGCGCAGTGGGGGGAGAGGGTAGCCTTGGCCCCGACCTAGAAATGTTGATAGGAGCTTACGTAATAAACATTTTCATTTTCGTAAATATATTCATTTCATGATTTTCCCTTTTTTTAACCTGAATTTGGGAAGAATCTCGGGAAATTGACTAGCATCGCTAAGAATGGTTCAACACGAAATCAATTTCAGTTTTAATTGTATCAATAGTTATTATTTCATCCTCTAGGTATATCTTATTTATATATGAGTAAAATATGTTATAAGTAAAAAAGAAGAAAGTTGAATGGAAACTGCCCAATCTCTTTCACATCTAGCGAGATGAGGACTTAAGGAAACGTGCGCGGATATAACAAGGGAATCATGGATTTGGTATTTGGTTGCATTTAAAATTCCCGCTGATATTCTGACGCAAACTGATAAATGAAGCTCATTGGGTGAAGCAGATAAGCCGCGAAATAGCACACCCATGCCCATATTTCCATATGCACCATGTGCATCAGCAAAGGAATCGAGTGCCGATTCAATAGGAATCGAGTTTTTCCAAAGGCGGGAAACGTGCCGCCTGGTGCCGCCAACGTTCGTAAGGTGACAGAGCGCGTTTATATTGACGTAGTTTATATTCTGTGAAACATAGAAGTGATTGAATAGATTCCGAAAAATCTACATGCAATTAGCGGTTTAAAACTAGTTGCGTTTAATGCTTATTTCGATATGGCCACTCAGCAATTAACCAAAAACTGTATTTCGTTGAAAGGTTCTGCTTCTTTGGTTAAAGAGTACCTTAGTAAGTATTAATACTGGCATTAAAGATAATATTTTATTGTCTAATTAGACGCGTTAATTTTAGGAGTTATTAATTCTTTTGTAGATTATGGTGTCAACAGTATTCTTTATCAGAGAGGTATTTATCCTGCAGAGTCATTTCAAACTGAAGAACATTTTGGGATCACTACTTTCATGTCTTCTAATGAGAAAATTAAGGAGTTCTTAACAAATGTGTTAACCCAAATTGAAGGTACGTAAATCATTAATTATTTGATGTATTGCATCTTAATATCACTCCACATTATTTGATAACCTCTACATGATTCTTATTTTGGTGAATTGTAGATTGGTTAGTGAAAAAGAAAGTGGAGCGAATTACTCTTGTTATAAATGATGTGAAAACGAAAGAAACTTTGGAGAGATGGGATTTCAAAGTTCAGTATGAAGTTGGTGTAACTGTGGGGAAAGAAGGGGAAGAAACAGGAAAAAAGGAATTGAAAGAAATTCAAAAAGAAATAAGGGACGTTCTTCGCCAAATTACAGCCACTATTAGTTTCTTGCCTTTGTTGGATCGCTTATGTGAGTATGGATTTAAGCAATTTTGTTGAAAACTTTTTTTGTGTTGCAAAATGTTATGAATTTTATTACATTGATGCTGATACAATAATTGTTTCAAGACTATATTTATTTTGATTGTCTTTAATATTAGAGATTCTACTGATGTATAAAAAATATATATATATTTTTTTAACTGGATGGCATCAACATTTTGAGCCAATTTTTGAAAATCTACAATCATTGTTCGTGATGAGTTTGAGGATGAAAAAATACCATTTTCAAAATTCAGCACTTCTTGTAAATAGCATAATATTAAGAAATATAGAAATGTCCCGTGAGAATTCAGAGGATTTTAAACTTCAAACTATTTTTTCTTGGATACTAGAGGATTTTTCTTGGTTGTCCAATTTTGTTGAATGTTAATGAAATGTTATATTTTTGTTTCTGACTTTTAATAATACATAATGGCTTTTGTACAAGCTTTTCTGTTTTTGTATTATAAAAATAGTTGTTGGCATTTGCAGGTGATGTGGAAAGTTTGTATTTCCTAAAGAGATCTTAATGTTTTCCACATAATTTAATTTCTAGTTCTGTTCTTTGGCCTTCAACAGCTCAATCTATTCTCAAACACACTTGTTATAAGTTATTGATTATTGTGGAAATCGCTTTTCATGTGCCTCTCATCAAAACTAAATCAACGAGCTTCTTATGATTCTATTCAGAATTAAAAAAAATTAATTTCTGTGAAGTTTATTTGAGGAGTATGCTATCACAAAATTATTCCTTAATTGAAAGGAGTACTTGATTAACACATATATTTAACAGTCATGCCTTAGTCATTTATCCCATACAACAGTCTTGGCAGATGACATGGTAAAACCTACTAAAATTTGAAATAAACCACCAAACTAATAAATATTCTAAAAATACTAAACGGATGACAACAGTTAATTATAAATATGTGTTTAAATATATTAATAAACTAATCTTTAAAATAGGGAATAGTAAATAAAGTGAGAAAATTATAAATTTACTTCATATAGTGTGGGTAACAGGTATTGTGGAAACATATTTTTTATACAAACAAAACAACAAATCAAATCGATTTCGCAATATACTACAGTCAACTCCATTTTTTTTCAGACATTAAAAAATCAATATGTCAGTGTTTTGTGACTCATACATGTTTTCCTGATTGAACATTTTTAACATTGATGAAGTTAGTGAAATTTTGACTATCGCCAAATAAGCTGTCCATACCTTTAACTATTTGTACTCCGCTTGGTTATATTTGAATGAATGTACCTGCAATAATCATAGGGAACTATTTTTCTGTTTTGTATTTTGTAATACATAAGTGACTTTTTTACATTTTAACATTTACGAAACACAACAAAAACCCGCAAATAAATTTGCCCCCTAAAACCTCCACTTAAGACAAAAATTATCCCTAAATTTTGGGGGAAAACTCCTGATGTGGAAACACTGACTTACAGTTCTGTAGCTGCTTAATCCTGTTAATAGAGACGAGCAGTAAACACTGCTCACTTTCAAATTTTCCTAGCCATTACTTAGCGCCCATGAATTCTGATGGTGTGAGCACTCAGTGCAAGCAGAGTTCAGTTGGGCGAAAGTGAAAAGTGTGTTCACAGGTCTACAAACAAAGAAGGCAATTGCTGGCAGCCATTTCCAAGACTTACTGAATGATACTGAAAAAAGTTCGTGGATAGCATTCAAATCAGTTGTAGCCAATTTCCTTGGAAATTGTAGATATGTAAATGTTGTAAAGAAGTGCATCAATGCCCACAAAAAGCTTTGTGTCAACATGTTCCTCAAAATTCATCTCCTCGACTTGCATCTTGACTTCATCCCTGAAAACCTAGGTTTTGTCAACGATGAACAGGGTTTTTACCAGGAAATCTCGGTGATGGAATAATGTATCAGGGCCAATGGAGTGCAACAATGTTGGCTAACTTCTCCTGTACATTTCAGCATGACATGCCAAATTTTCAGCACAAACGCAAATCTATAGCCAAGAAATTCAAACCAAATACACTTTAGATTAAATATTTTCAGTGTGTGTGTGAATTTAGGTATGATATCTTCAAATATATATTACTATATAGTATGTGTGTCATGTGATTCAATCTCACTATTTTCTGAGCTAATTCCATGTTCATTAGTACTCCATTCCACAAAATATTTTCTAGTGAAATATAAATGGTTGAAGGAGTTTATTTAAAAAATGGTAGGTGGTCGAGAAATTTTTTGCAAATTTTAGAATCAGCAGTTTCACTTGTGTTAGAAAAAGGGTTATATACCAAGATATCTGCCAATTTTTAAAATTGATTTTCAGTCTTATTAGTCTCGAAAATTCTCCCATTTCGGTAGGTTCGTAAAAGACAAAAATGGATATGATGATTTCTAAAATAGGAGATGAAAATGATTTTCCAGAATAATGATTTATTTTATTTCCTTAATTTCAACTATTTTATTATAGATGTATTAGGATGAAATTAAAAAAAAAAAAAAAAAAAAAAAAAAAAAAAAAAAAAAAAAAAAAAAAAAAAAAAAAAAAGAAAAAAGAAAAAAAAAGAAAAAAAAAGAAAGAAAAAAGAATAGTTAAACCCTAATTATAACCAAAAGAGAAACACAAATTACTATCTAATATCCTTATCTCTAAAACCTCTGAACAAAATAATTTTCTGTAATTTATCACTCAATAAAGAAATAAAATCTCTTCTAAATTATGAAGCTGGAATCTGCATTTTTTATCTCTGAAAATCATTTCATCGGCAGAAAATTTTTCTTTCTACCTGTACTTTTGTTTTGCGTGTTCTTTCATTTCAGAGATAATTGACTGTGAACTTATTGTTTACATGTTAGAATTTTTTATGCAGAGTGAAGGGACGCTAAAATTCTTAGGAAGTAAATTGGGCAAATGGTTAATCAGTTTTATGACTCTTTGGATTGAAGTTAACATGAATGCACAATTCGAGAGTATTTTTTACAAAGTAATTCAGTCAAGCACATTTGATAGTAATTTGAAACAATCACTTGTGATACACAGCTTTCAGTGATGTTCTGAGAATAGAATTCTGTTTTTCGGGTCAATCCATTTTAAGTGGTCCAGCACTGGTTCCTCGACCATCTCAAAAAAAAAAAATTATATTTTGTACATAAATTTCCTTACGTTTTGGCTGTTCAAAAACATTTTAAATTATTTTTTATTGTACCTAGTTTACAAATGGTGGGGTTATTTTTATTTTTCGCGTTTATAGACATTTACTTCTTTCTGAATTCATCAGCTCAGGGTTGCTCTAGCATTTTAGAATAAAAAGAATTGGATTCAGTATATTCTGGCTTACAAATCAAAATATTATTTACCTACCTTCTATGTTTTTATTTGGGAAATATTTGCAACCAATATGGAATTTTCAATTTTCTACTGTAATATCTCTGTTGGGGGACCAGATAAAAATCTGAATATTGCATATACTAGACCGCTGTGATTCCAAATCTTATTAAAAATTTCATATTTTAGATTTAACTTGAAGTATTTTTTAAATAATTGTAAACTTACTTACATGTTTTAGAACTGCCAAAACATAAGGAAATTTATGTACAAAATATAAATTTTTTTCGAGATGGTCGAGTGATCAATTTATTAAATTCTGGGCCACTTAAAATAGATTGACCTTCTAAGATAACTCATTTTTGAAATAAGCTTATAAATGGCCAATATAAGTTTTAAAATTTCCATACAAGGTGGGACAAATAGGCCGTTTTAAGCTCTGGTGCTGAAATAGACCTTTTAAGCAGTATAAATATAGTTGTGTAATACCGTGAAGTCATGGAATGTGGACAGAATTAGCTTTGAGTGTCATATGCCCAAAGAATATAATAGTCATTGGCCTAAAATACCAATATCTAGTGATGTGTACATATTGGTATTGACTATATGCCTATTAAAGGAATGCTGTTGTTTCAGGTTCATTTGACATACTTGTTCAGACGGTGCAAGATGCAGATGTACCACAGCTTTGGGATGAAACTCAACCTTGTTTTATAACAAACTCCCAAGAAGTGCAACTCCGTACATTTTCTACTTCGTTACACAGAATGGAAACGTTTGTTTCCTACAAGGGAGAATAAATAAACTCTTTTATTGTATGCTTGGAAAAGATAAGAAATGAACATGGTTTTTTGTGTCATGACTGTGATTTTTTTAAAAACAATTGTAACTGTACATAATGCATGAATGAGTGGATGCCTGAAGTTTTTACTCTGAAAATTTGTACGTTAGTATCATTTAGGAACATTATTATTATTAATTTCAACTGGTATTTATTTAGTTGTCTTTCAGTGTCTTGTATTATCACCAAATTGGACTAACTGCTGTTTCTGCTGTATTTCAAATGTTGCTTTAAGGCTTGATCATTCAAATTGTAATAACTCTTTAACTCCCTTCTTGTGTTGCTAATGTTGAAATGGCTAAACAGTTGTATATTTCATTTACTGTTATCTATTTCAACAGTAAATATTGTACATAATGTTTTGTATTTGTTTTTATAGTTTCAAAGCCAATAAAACAGGTGGCACAATCTGCACTGATCTAACCGTACAAAAAATGTGTTTTAGAAGAAAATGAAATTGCAGGTGTTAAACCTGAATAAATGTTTGTAATCTGAAATTTTGCTTTTTACCTCCTTTCTATTCCCATTATAATTAACATGGGAAATGTCCTCTCTTTCTCTTCTACCTCAACAGGGCATTCACTGTGACTTCAAAGCTTTAACATGAATTCTGGAAAAACAATGGTGTTAGCAACATTTTCTGGTGAGAATTGTTATTTTGTTTATGACCAGTATCACTAATATGAAAAAAATTCAGTATTATTAGACAAGTTAAACACCATATGCAACAATATTATGGTTTAAACTCATGTTGCTACTACAGAACAGACTCTCATATAATTGGTTATGATTATGTAACGTGCTGCTCCTTTCATTGTACTCAAGGTGCGTACGTAATTGTGTGCTTATGTACATCTTCTCCCTCTAGGTGTCCCAGCATGTGACATCTCTTGAAAAGCAAACCTACTGTGGAGTAATAGAGCGCTGCATATATGAACCACTTTTACTGATATTAAACTTTACATAAGACAATGCAATGATATCGAGTTTGTGTTATGAAGTCGGTGTTTGATTTAGAATTAAAAATTTTATAGAATTCATTCCTAAGTGACTTGGCTTTCTGTTTCAAAGCGTTACTAAAGATCTATACAGCCGTAACCACTGAAGTCGTAAAGAAGGCAAAAAGTATAATAATACATTAAATTTTCTTTTTTAAACAGGACAAAAATATGTTCTGAATTAAGCTTGTGTATATTTTGCGAATGTTCATTCCCGCCAGAGATACAGTATAATATTCTGGGGAAATACATCTTATAGCTCCCAGACTTTTAGATTACAAAAAGAATTGTACGAATAATAAGCAAATCCCTCCCACATGATTTTTGTAAGCCTCTCTATTAATCTAGGTATTTTACCATTACCTTGTCTCTTCATATATGAATCAGTGGTTTTTGTCAAAAATGACTTAACTTAAGGGTGGGAATTTATTTTCAGCAAACACTGTTGTCTAGAACTACAACACTCAACATAGTAATCATATTCATCTGGTGACAGTATCAACAGCTCACTATGAAAAATTCACATTTAATACATGTACATTATTTTACAACTTGCTACTTGCCAGATGACATTAAACGATTAAATTCGATTCAAAAGTTTAAGTCCCAAGTAAAATCTTTTCTGCTGCACAACCGTTTCTATGCATTTTGAGTCTATACTGAGCATCCAAAAGGAAAGGAAAATTAATTTTTACAATGACATTTAATGAATTATATACCATTTAGATAGTATAATTGTAAAGAATCTATCAAGTATTGTACTTCAGCTTCTGGGTCAATGACCCCGTTTTGACCCACTACGATCAGGTTTTCATCCAGTTTCCGTGATCCTCGAGCAAACGCTGAGATTGTCCCTTGTTTCGCTTCTGGACATAAATGTAACTTCAAATAACCTTCTTCCCATAGCATGTCACAGCCGGTTTTTAACTGTTTTTTGATGTAAATAAATTAATAAATAAAGCTGGATTGAACAAATAGATGAGGCTCTTTACAATGTCCGTCCAATGTATCCAGTCCGGTGTTTCACTGTTGGACAATAAAATTTCTTTAGTTACTAGACCAAGAGATAATTTGTTTGCAAATTGAAATGCTACATAACTAGCCAAGAATTTGTCCTTCAAATGTAATTGAAACTTCAAATACATTTTTTTCATATAAATTTATTTCAAAGTAATTCACTTTAATATCATTGTTAGACTCAGCTTCCAAGAACTTCCTTCTAGTTCTCTGCCTTCTGAAATTCCTTCACTAAAATTTCATTGATTATCAAGAATATTTTCTACGCAATAAACACTTCCTGAGTTTCCCTATTCCTAAAATATTGTCATCGCAATCTGTTCTTATGTCTTCCCTTGAGCTTCAGCTTCTTCCTCCTCTTCCAAAGATGAAATCAACGTTATCTTGTTATCATCCTCTGTATTCCAGTTTTGTGTGAAGAGTCAATAAATGTTTCTTAATGAAGTACCATTTCAACTGATATTTAGAGTCTAGGTAGTTGGTTTGTAATTTAAGCCATCTATGCCACGAATATAAGCAAAGAAATTTTTCAAAAGTCTTGATTTATTTTTTATGTTAAAACATTCAGTTCTATGTTTCATTTTCAAATTTAAAAAAAATTCAACCAAAGATATATTATTCATCCAAATTCCCCTCTGGAAAAATATTAACGATTGGAGATTTCCAACTTTCATTTTTGATTGTGTCTGACTTCCTGTAGAGTTGATTTTCCAAATTTAAAGCATATGCATTGAGTCCTGGACGAGTTCTGAATTTATTTTTGGGATTAAAAAAATATCAAACAAATCATTTGTATGTTTCAAATCTTGATATTTCTTCTCAATCCCAATTTTTTAGGAATACGTTTTTTCAAGACCATTTATTTGCTTTAAAAACTTTCTGAAAAAAATTGTGTTGCGGGTCATGTTTATGTCTCTGACCTGTAGGTGATAAGGGGTAATGGTGTGAGCAATCTGGAGGTCTTTTGTAATGTTGTTTGATGCTTCTTTGATTTGTGTTTCCCATCATTAAAGGATCCACCATCAAGGAAATTATTTTTTAATTTTCAAGAGGTGAGGTGCAACAGCAACTTATATTCATATCTTCATTCACAGGATGGGGAAAAAAGTACTTATTTATATCAGTGTTAAAACATTGTGTTTGATTCCCGTGAAATTTGTGGATGTGTGTGACAATGTCATATGGATTCAGATTCGCTTGTGTGTACAGCTTGTTGAAAAACGGGACGTTTCGTAGATTTGCCAAAGAGGACATCGTAAAGGAAAATTCAAGAAAGAAAATTTACTAAGAGATCCTAATTCTTTGGGAACTTCAAAATCAAATACACACGTGACATTATTATCGAATGAAAATTCAATTTCACTGCCACAAGAGATAATATTAAATATTTCAGGATTTCATCGTCCAGGTTTGCAAGAGAATGATAAACTACTAGGTAAATTCAAAGGGTTACCAGTTCATTTAGACATTGAGCAGGATGTTACACCGATCTATTTAAGAGCTCGTCCGGTTCCTTACGCTCTCGAAGAACGAATGACGAATTACATCTTCTATATTCGTGAGTTCTTAAGCCAGTTCTATTTTCCAGATGGGCTACGCAGTAATTGTAGTTCCAAAACGAGATGGTTCTTTACGATTGTGTGGAGACTAGTGCTTCAATTAATAAAGTTTAGAAACCAGACAATTTTCCACTTCCTCCAATTTGACGATTTATTTGTGAAGTTATCAGATTGACAAGGAAGCTCTGTCTTTCGTTTTTGGAGTGTCCAAGGTCCATGAATTCAATTTTGGAAGATCAAATGTCACTTTTATAATGGACCATAAACCTCTTTTAGGAATTTTAAGAAGGGATCGCAAACTCCAGAGCATTTGTCACCAAGGATGACTCTTTGGTCCGTAATTCTAAATGCATACGATTATGAATTTGTTTACAGAAAAAGGAAAAATGGAAATGCTGACGCTTTTTCTAGACTCCCTTTACCAATGGAATTAAATGCTGCATATCCTGATCCTGTGGGATTACATTTATTAGAAATTAAGAATGGACCTATTAGCAATAAAGTAGTGGTTTTGGCAACAGCACGAGATCCTATATTAAAGAAGGTGTTCCATTTTTTACAAGAGAGTTGGCCAGGTAGATTTCTATATGAACAAGATTTTTTTTGGCAATGTCAACATAAACTTTCGACGTTTAATTGTTGTATTTTTTTGGGATCGTGTTCCAGAAAAGTTACAGCAAATAGTTTTAAAAGCAATTAATTCATCCCATCATGCAATAGTGAGGACAAAGGCAATCGAACGTAATGATGTTTGGTGGCCAGGTCTAAGTAAAGATGGGGAATATATGATTCAAGGTTGTGCTCTTTGTCAAGAATTTCGCTCTAATCCTCCAGCAGCATCACCTTCGTCTTGGCCAGAAGCATTGTATTCATGGCAGAGTACATTATGATTACGCTGGTCCTATTAATGGTTATACTTTTCTCGTGGTTGTCAGTTCTTTTTCAATATGTATCATAATGCAAGTTTCATCCATGTCCGCTCAGATTCTTGTTCGATGCTCCTGAGACATTTTCGCAGATTTTGGTACTCCAGCATCCATTGTTTCTGATAAAGGGACTCAATTAACTTCTAAAGTGTTTCGTGAGATTTTATGAAGAAATAATATTCGTTATCTTAAATCTCCACCTTTTCACCCTCATTCAAATGGATTGGCTGAGAGAGCAATCCAATCATTTAAGAAGCTTCTTGGGAATCATAAGGAAAGAGATATGTCAACTAGGTTGTCAAGACTTTTGTTCGCAATGAGGACTGCTACTAACAGGGTACCAGCTGATATGTTTTCTTTATCAAATTTGAAGATTCGTTCTCTTTTAGATGTCACGAAGTGGCCGCCACCTACGCGTCTTCGGAAAAGGTGGGTCGCTTTACCTTTCAGCTAGCTCGGACGGTAGAAAGGTGGCCTGAAAACAAGGGATGGCGGGCGGACGTTGTTTCGATGAAAATGAGTTTTTGAAATAAGGTTAACATCAAGTTTAATAATTCAAACGAAAATTATCAATAATAACGATTATAATAAGCCTACAAGCTCGTTGGATATTTTCCCCTCAATAAAAGCCAAAATACTACGTAAACAAATTCTTACGTTCAAGAGAATTTACAATATTTTCCGCAGATTCATTAGGAGCCAAAGCGCGGCTACGAATCTTTCCTTTCTTTAAAAGAACAGCACTTGAATTCAAAAGTCCATTTATTTAGACGCCTGAGGGGCCGTTGAGAGCTTATAGCCAAACTTAAAAAACACGTCACCGTGGTCGCTGAATACGTTGATTCGCTGGGCTGAATGGTCTGCCTCATAAGACCCTGTAAGGCCTCAGGCGACAGAAGCAGGGGTAGAAGAATATTAAAGACAGGTGCAGGTAGTTAGGACGCAAGGTTTTGCTCAGCCGGCCGGATCAGCGCCCTCCAGAAAATGATAATCTGGT